TATTAACGTTTTGTGTAACTTGGAAATCAACTCTTAACAATATGTATATATTTGTTCTGAAATAGTCAGTATGACTGAAATAATGACGGGGCAACTTTACAGGTATTCACAATTGTGATACCGTGACGCAGCATGGTCCTGAAATCATTCCAGTTAACAGATAATGTATTTAGAAAAATAAGTATATTGAATTTTGTTTATGCAGAAAGTATTCGAATATCAATGTTATTGCAACTCTTTGGGAATATTCTTCCAGACATATTATCAATTCATGATTACACATCTATTATTCACGGCTTCTCGTGTGTGTGTGTGTGTGTGTGTGTGTGTGTGTGTGTGTGTGTGTGTGTGTGTGTGTGTGTGTGTGTGTGTGTGTGTGTGTGTGTCTAACAAGGGAGATATTATTCGATATGCTTGACATTGTGTGCCTGCAGGGTTTTACGAGAGCTGTTATCGCACCAATGAAGCAGAAAGTATTTATTGAGAAAAAGATGCCTCAACATATATTCATAGTTACTTTATGACATAAACGGTAAACGATAATTGACTGCAATCGAAGTCGTTTTAATGAGCACATGATTTCATCATACCTTTGCTTTTTACCCATACATGGCACACAGCTCAGGCAAAATAACAAATTGCAACAGAAGATATTTCACAACAATGCATTTACACAAGGTCACAAGAACATAGTGAACCTCCTAAGTTGCTTAATCCAGTAAAACCAATATTTCTTTTTATCAATATTTCTTTTTAAGGTAAGATAAGGTTCAATATATTGATGAAAAAAGCATGTGTCTTATTGCAAACTAGCCATGCTGTGTTTCTATAGAAATATTAACGATAGTTACTGTACATGTTTAACTATTTATCTAAAAACAATACACGATAGGCCCAATTTCAAGATGGCCGCCACGTTTCCTGAGTGTGTGTTCAGACTGTGTAGTCCTGATGAACACTTTTAGATACGGTATCCTGTCACATGGAATATCAATACATTGTTGGTCTCTGATGAGGAAGTGAGTGATTTAATAAGTTAACGTCACATATCAAATCCATATAGTGACGAGAAGCGTTATGTTAAATACAAACGAAAATTCTTAGCCTCACAGAAAGTTAGCTTGAAATATTCAAACCATTTAGTGACGAGAAGATTTATGCAAATTGAAAAACAAAATTGTCGCAAAAGAAATAAAACATTAGCAAATGATCACAATTGGAGTCGAAAAACTAACCATTCCAAATATTAATATATATCTATTCAACACAAATATCAATATTACTTTGAATACCATTAAAATAGGAGCTATAGTAATTCGGCTTCCTGCATGAACCCACTCACTGTTGTAGATAAGGCTAGCCATAATTAAGACATGTCCAAATATGAAAGTATAACATTCCGGTTTTCTGCAATGTACTCGGATACTATTTGGAAAATAACATGCCACTATCAGAGGACAATCTGTTTACAATACAGCCCAATTTAATAGCGCTGCCGTAATATTTTTGTAATCAATTACATCAACCTTAATTAAAACACTCTTAAAAATCATAGAATTAAATGGGAATTTATTTTGGTAAAAAGATCCTTCATAATTTAAACTTTGTCATAAGGTTCCCTTGTGAGAGAAATCTCTTCACACTAAAGCAAAACGTGCTTGATTGTGACTCTATCATCACAACGGATAGACAATGGAGGAGTCTCTCTTTTCAACAATTATTCATAAGTAAAACGCGAATGGCCTTTGACATCCTAAGTAGGTATAACCTAAAGTTTGTTTAATTTCACGAAGTTTGTTTATATCTCATTGGACGTTTCACTTTGTTTGCCTTTTCTGTCAGATTTCCTCTCAGATATAAGGTTTAAAATGAGAGGGTGGGAGGGAGTTACGATTTTAAGTCACATCGGCAATATATCAGCCATATCGTGACTATATCAAGTTATGGATTCATGGTAATTGAAAGCAATTTATATAAAGCTGTACCAGTTTATCAGATATATATTTAAAACTAATTGATTAACCATTTTAATTATAGATGACAAGTGTTAATCAACATGGCCGTAAGTGCCTGCGCATTTGTTCATTCAGCTTATCTAGTGTTGTAAACATAGTACGATATGGGCACGAATATAATATTCTGTTTATTACCGAAGTCGTCAAATTGAGGAAAATAACCCAAATCTACTTTCAGACATAGGCTGTCTACCCGTAGAACGCAACGTCACAGAAGAAACGTGACGTCATAGCATTGTTCATGACGTCATGTCGCCATGACAAAATATCACTTTCTGAAAAAGCACAGTGCATTAAGACCTACGATGTTTTCAAATTTGGGGACGCTAACTCAATTCCAGTATTGCTTTAGCCGCTTTCAGTTACATGAATGTACAGGCATCAGATGACGCGATAAACCCAGTGTGTAGATTGAATACCCGTAAATTTAATTCGAAACAAATTTCTTTTCTGACACAATTTCAAAACGCGAACACATCGGTTGTTATGGAATGAGTAAATGAATGAGTTTAGATTTTGCCGCACTCATCAATATTCCAGCTATATGGCGGCGGTTCGAATTGGTCCTTCCGCGGGTGTGTTATTCGTGATCTAGATTATGCCCAGCTCCTTCATATCAGGACAAGTCGAATGTCGTCTCCAGCGCCCATCGGGGCGATTTATTAACTTTGTTCCGTACTCGCCTAAAGAAGAAAAACTGAATGTTATACCACTGAATGGGATCCTTATGTCGGTGAGCGTTATGCGTCGAGTGGTGGCGGTAAGGGTCGAGGTGGAACGGAAAGGGTCGAGTGGTGAAGAATTCCAGTCAGGAGCTGCATGGTTCATCTCATATCAATGCTTCTGTTGCTACAGTTAAAATATTGTATTGGCACGGACTGGTTACCCTTGCTAACTTGTCTATTAGAGGCTGTACTGACGCTTTTATGAATTGCGAAATCGAGTTTTAATTCAAATGTGTAATTACCTTTTAAAATCTTTTTTCTAAATTGTTGTGAAGAAATTGTGCTGAGTGAGTGGTATGCGTTTTTCAATAAATCACTGTGACTATACAAATGGCCTCCGAGGTATTATGTAGATAACGAACTAGGACGAGGTGACCCGAATGACGCTGCACTTGACAAAGTGAGTGAGTGAGTGAGTGAGTGAGTGAGTTTAGTTTTACGCCGCATATGTCATCGGTTCCCATTTGCGAAGATCGATGCTCATGCTGTTGATCACTGGATTGTCTGGTTCAGACTCGATTATTTACAAACCCCCGCCATATAGCTGGAATATTGCTGAATGCAGTGTTAAACAACAGACAAAACCCAAACTGTGTTACGATGACAGAAAATATGCAAAGTAATACTATTCGTGGGAGAAAGTGCGAATGTTGTACATTTTGTATGTTCAAAGGGCAGCCACAATGGAGATAGCACGCCGAGTCTTTACCGGCTATATTCCATTAATTGTTTACACAGATACTACCGATTGACTGACCACGATAGTAAACGATAAGGTGAAGAATAAAAGAAAATAGATGCATGTTACATATTCGGGGTTGTTTAAAGCATTGTTTACGATAGAACATAACCAATCGGTGGGCTTGAGACGAGTAACATGTCTGCATTCGAGTGAAGCACAAGCAGCTGATCAATGAGTTACAATTGGGGAAGTTGTCCGTCATGTCACCTCAGGTCCTCATAACAATCTCGGACCTGGGACGATCTCACCCACATGCGTGACACCAGTTATCTCTCATGAGTTTCTCACCCACCGGCGTGTAAGAAATTCACAATGTCCCACAATAAGGAGTCATGCAGGTAACGTCCTGGGGCGAGTTGACCCGACTGCCGCTGTAACTGTCCGCGACGTATTTCAATATGAAACGAGTCTGTGTTTGTGTCGTTCTCACGTAAAGAAAGGAGTGTCAATTGCATGGGTACAGAACAACCAGTCTATTATGACGCCTCTCTCCAGTTGTGCGCAATAAAGCTGTGTAAGGTGTGCATTTATTTATGGTGTTGTTGTCAGTGCTGAAGGCGAGTGTACTCGACGCCCATGTATCTCGGGCTTGTCACTTCTCGGAAAGGGCAATCAGAATTCCCGGACGTCTCAGCAATACTGCGAAATATTACGAACTGACAATTTCTCGCTCATATGCGAAATGATTAACTTAGAATATGCGTTTGCATATTTTTTAAAACAATAATTGACCACAATCACTAATGAATGGCCCTCTTTTTGTGATACGAACAAACACTCTTTGTGTGGATATGAAAACTCTGTGCCCAATTACTATGTCCCATTTACTTGTTTATTCATTACATTGTATGTCCAGCTTATGAAAGCTTAAGATCTAAATACCTACCGTTTGTCTGTACATCTTATAATATAGAAAAATTATTTTCATCAACTTAATGGCATCTAATGATACAAATGCTATTATTAAGCTACAACTTTATGCTCATCATCTGAGACGTCAAATTTTGTAAACTGAAAGTTCCAACACGCTGCTTGTATCATCTGTATATGAACTGGAGGCCACACATTCTGAATAAACAAGATGAATTGATTTGAAAATTATATTAACCGATTGCTACTTTTGTTTGATAAACTGTCTCCTAAATCATATATTTCTTTTCTTATAGTTGCATCGCCACTGTCCACACTGTCCACTGCCTATATTCATTCAACCCGCAATACTCATTCATTACCGTTATAAACCTAACAGTAACAGGTTGCTAATGCACCTTCATATCCACAACCCCTGCCGGGCAGCGCGACAGTGAGTCTCTTGAATATTCATAGACAAACGCCGAGTTGTTTATCTACATGTTTCCTTCAGGTGTTTCAGTATCCGGGTTGTAAGATGTCAATATCAGTACACTGACAAATCCTATATGAAATATCATTGGTGGATTCTCAGCCAATCAGCTTTCACATTCAGATGTTAAGATGTACATAAGCCGATGACACGCGTGGTTTATAAAGTTACTTGATCTTAGACAGAAACATGGACCGCTTTTCAGTCTGTCTGTTGTTTGGCCTGACTCTTATCGTGTGTTCTGCAGTGGCACTCGTACAAGGTAGGTCAACACTAGTGAGTGAGTGAGTGAGGGAAGGAGGGAGTTAAAAGATGGGTAGGTGGGTGATTGGCTGGGTTGGTGGGTTGGTGGGACGAGTTAGTGTGCGTGTGAGTTCGAAGTTTAGTTACTTTAACGCTACTACAAATGAGTGTCAAATTTATAGAGAAAAAAACCCTCCATAATGATACGTGTCCTGGAACTTGGTAAGGTACAGGCCAGTCTAAAGGGATTCCAACCCATGATCATAAATTAGTTTTGGGATAAAATATCGAGGCGTTTGAGAAACACTATCCATGCCCCTCCACTTTCCTCGAAAATCACATGAGAATATCTTCCGTAATACTTTTACATAAATTTATAGCTTTTATATTACGGTAAAAAGAACAAACTATTTTTTTCGAATAGCATATATAAATACATGTTACTTCATTTTAATGACTTGATTATCTATCCACCTAACTACACATGCACCCACCCACTACTACCTACTTAGATATCTACAAAATATATATAATTTGTCAACGGTTACGCCAACACTTCTCGTTGCATTGGCGGCGGGGTAACCTATTGGTTAAAGCGTTCGCTCGTCCCGCTTTAGACCCGGGTTCGATTCCCCACATGGGTACAATATGTGAAGCCCAATTCTGGTGTCCCCCGCCGTGATATTGCTGGAATATTGCTTAACGCGGCGTAAAACTAAACTCTCTCAGTCACTCACTCACTCACTTCACTACAGTGTAGAATATAGATATGTAAATTAACTTTCCCTATCTCACTGTAACCTTCTTTCACAGATTTGCCAACTCCTTGCCCGGAAATTCAATGTCCGCAAGAAAAGAAATGTATCTTCGGTTACAAAAAGATTAACGGGTGTCCTACATGTGAATGTAACAGACGTAAGTAAATACTTATTGCTCTTTTTCATCATCTTCACCCTCCTCCTTCTCATCATCATCGTCATCATCAGCGTCATCAGTGGTGACATGAACAAATCTGCACTCCATGTTATGGTTAAGAAGTTGTTGTAAAAGTAATTGAAATTGTGTATGTTGTGTATTTCATTCACTCAGTCACACAAAGGAAACGCTAGTCCTTCGCAATGTGATTGGACGGTGGGGTAGACTAGTGGTTAAAGCGTCCAATCCTCACGCAGAAGACCCTGGTTCGATTTCCCACATGGGTACAATGTGTGAAGCCCATTTCTGGCGTCCCACGCCGTAATATTGCTGGAATATTGCTAAAAGCGGCTTAAAATCATACTCTCTCTAATTATGCACGGGATGACATGTATTCAGCCTAGACGAGGCTGGGGAGGGGTGTGTTTATCTACATTCATGTTCTCTTATCAAGTGCCTGCTAGCAGGTGCCCGTGTTTGGCTTGCAGAAGCGATGTTGGTTCTAAATAACATTTCTAAATGTCATCAAATACTCAGTAACCAAAAGGAAAATGTGGAAACACCGACTATTTGTTATTTGTGTCTTAAATACGTACACAATGGTTTGTAAGTAAATCAAAACACGGTTCAAAATGTTTTGGGGAAAATAATCCCAAAACACAAGTGTGTACTTTCTTTTGTACGTCAGATTATGACGCGTTATCATTTCCTGTTCCAGCCTACAACTGCCCCTACTACCGTCCTTGTCAGCAGTGGTTGAAATGTCCCGCAGGAGTCGTGAGGATCAACGGATGCCCAACCTGCATGTGCAAACCAACACCGAAACGTAAGCACAGTTACTTAATTAAGAAATGAAACGCAGCATCAAGAAAACCATTCAGGGCGACCCCCAAATGGCTCACACATTGGGACAGTTGCCGTTCTGATTTGATTTGATTGGAAGTTATCAATGGGAATCAGTGATGACACTCACACAAGTCTTTGTTCCACTCAGGAAAGGTTACAGCTTTATGATAGGTTGGTTGCTTTGTTGTTTAACACCCTTGATGCCGAGTTTTTTTTCAGGCGCACATTTTCATACAGTTTGAAAAGTGAACGTTGTGCGAGAATTGCGCTCGCGTGGTCCTGGATCTACGTACGGCTATAAAATTACACAGAAATGTAGAATATTAAATTTCCTATCCGTTGGTATAAATATAAGTGCAACTACCTCGGCGGTTTGAGAAATAGACATTGCTAAATGTTGTCCAAAGGTTGTTATGCGTTAAAAAACAGTAAATTTATCCGCTTTTTATCGCGCACCGATAAAAGCGCTGTGCTACGAATTTTTTAATGTGGCATCTTTACGGAAAGTGTGAGCGAATAAAATACAGCCTGATATCTGAACGACATAAGTGTATATGAATTGGGATTATGTGCTTGTACATAACGTTATACGCTCAACATTAAAAATGACTCGCAATAAATGTCAAAAATGGATTTTCTTCTATGACGTCAAACGACGACAGAGAGGTTTTACACGTATAATGATAAGGGGGCATAACTCCCTTATGCCCAACACTAGGTCAATGTTACTCAGTTCACTTGGAGAGAATTTGTTGTGGATACGGACGCTATATTTTCGTTATTTTATGTTCATGGTGAACCAAACTATTCCAATTCAAATTTCCCAATGTGAGCGGATGCAGTTTGGTAGTTTCACAATTTACAAGAAAAATGACAACGTATTACATGTGAAAGCACGTTATAGCGATTTGGATGGCCCTATCCGATATATAAGTTAGTTCTTAGATTCCCTTATTCTCCTGTTTGTGTAGATGTAATTTGACTAATTTTGCATCGTTATTACCAGAATACTAGCCATATCTTCAAATGTAATGAAATTGCTGAAAATAATACAACATTTTAGTTGACGTCATTGCTTGTTTTATGCATTTTGCGACGTCAGAAAAAGACGAAATTGGTATGTTGATTAGTATATATCTCACCTAATTTCCATTAATTGTATAAAAGGTCTCAGCTTTTACGTCAGAATTTAACACTCTTTAGACAAAATATAAAATGACTGATTTTTCCATTTAAATAGTGTCCTGAATATATCAACAATTAGACGGTTTGATAGCGTATCTTATTGTGAACAACACGCGCACCTGTTTGGCATCAACTTATCGTAAATAAAAATAATATTTCACAACACCCGAATATTTTGTTTGGGATAAGAATTTTCTTTCTTTATGATTATGTAGCTATTTCTCTTCATACGTATGCAATGAAAGATGCAAAAAGATAGCTTTTTATATATGGAACTACATATTAGAATATGGATGTAAGATTTGTTCGATTTAACACATGAGATGGTATATATATTTTTCAACAAGTTTCCTATAAATGTAGTTAGAGTTTGATATCCTGTCATCACAATATTATTTAATCGAATATGAATTGATTATATTATCGAAAACAATGATAGAGAATCATAAAACGTTTCCAACAATATGCACCTAGCCGATCAATATGCGTCATTCTTTTGTCTATAAAACGACACAAAATTATGCAATGAACAAGGCAATTCCTTTAAATATGTGTGCATATATACATTTCATACCATATATAAATCATTTTCATTAATATTATCAGTTTTACATATAAGGTTGAATTAAATCACCGTTCATTAACCTGTTCATATGAAATTGCAATATTAGTCCAAATGCATTGAATATTGTACATCATAGGAACTAAAGTAGTTGCAGTTATGGCTACGTTTGATCTTCTAACACTTGTGTAAAGGTTTAGAATATGGTGTATTGCACTAAATATGTCAATTTCTTATGTAAATATGATTCAAACAATCAAAAACTTTCAAAGAATAAAACACCGTAAACCCTATATGCACGTATGATATGATATTGGACAAGGCTAAATGTAGATACTGAAGTCAGTTTCATGAAAAAGTATCTGAACTATACGCAAAATATACACCATAATACTGACAGTGTAATCGGAAGGATTGGGCGATTGTGTTTACTCTTGTTCAACGACCTTCACCTCAAAGAAATTGCCTAATATGTACAACAATGTTGACGTATGACATCACTACCGCTGACCGATTTCTTACAAAATGGCGGCTTTGCTGACAAGGGTACACAGGATTTTGCGAGGACCCTTCCATTGATTCAGGGATCGTTTGTACATAAATATGACATGTAAGTAATCAGAATGATTCTGACTATCTGTGTATTGTTATGTTTTTATCGTTTTCACTAAGAGAAAGTAAGAGAAGAAGTCAGAAATGCAGATAATTACCGTTGTCGTTCTGCGTGAATTATCAAATCATTGCATTGTATCTATTTATAATTTCCTATTGCTTGCTACGATACTCTTTCCATGCATATTCCAAAGGTATTGAGCCATTGCAAGCAATTAATAGACGGATGAATGTTGACAAATTTCAGAACATGCTACGCAGTGTAAAATTGGAATTTGTCTTTGTTTACATTTCAGACAAGCGCAGTCTTTCAGGCACAGCGTTCGTTTTCACACCCAATATGTTTCGTCTCATTTTATCTAGACAGTTGGTATTGGTAACACAGACCAGTTGCAATTTGGTTCTAAAATGTATGGGGAATTCAGTGATGCATTTTTCGAAGCTGAATATGAAATATACGTGATGTAATAGGCGTCTCAATACCGGCTTTCGCGAAACGTGATTTTGTAAACACTATCCAATATGGCGGAAAGCGCTCTACGGCGTTCGTGTAAGTGCATTTTCGAAAACATCCCAACCGATTCTAGATTCATCGGTAACGTTTCAGAATTATAATTAGCGATTTCATGTAAAACTGATATCAGTGATCATGAATATGTTATTTTTGAAATTCAATGCACCCAGTAATTATCCGATTTTCACATTTCAAAACATACAGCAAATAACGCTGTGAATAGCGATTTCGTACTGTGTCAAAAATGGCGACATTTTCGATGAAGCCTATTTTGAAAGGTCATTTTCAGCACTTGAGCTTTGTCTAAAATAATAGTGGATGGTATCAAGAAACAGGAAATTTCCCGCAGAATTCGAAACTGTGAAGTGTATTTGTGTGCGTGGGATATTTTGATTTTTATTGGACTTGAAATTGAGGGTTGAAGGGGAAGGACTTATATGTCCCTGTGGCATCCAGGGGGTTAACGCCGCACTCAGCAATATTGCAGATCTGTACATAATCGAGTCTGGACCGGGTAATCCAGTGATAAACAGCTTGAGCATCGATCTACGCAACTGGGATACGATGACATGTGGGAACCAAGTCAGCAAACCTGAGCACCCGATCCCGTTAGTCGCCTCTTACGACAAGCATGGGTTACTGAAGATCAATTCTAACCCTGATCTTAACGAGAGTAGCCTTCGGTACAGAACCATTTATTGGTAATTCCGCTTGCGAGCGTCTACGATGATTTTCCATAATGTGTCCAAATATTGCTGCTCGCTTTTTATGCTGTATGAAGCTCAAAGTCGAACTAGCGATGTTATACTAACTTATCACTGCGAGATTGTGCGTAGTTCGCTTATGTATATCAGTCCCCATTGTCTCTTTTGTTTCAAAAATAATTCAGCATTATCAATATATTGTTGGTATGACGTCACATAAAATGGACTGTGATGTCAACGGATGACGTCATATTTAATGTTTTGTGACATCGCGTGGGAATATTGCTGGAATAATGCTAAAAGCGGCTTTAAAACGAAATTCACTCACTCACTCGACATCACGCGTAGCCGTACAACCAATGAGCACAAAGGACAGCAAATACAAACCTTTTTTTTGCGCTTAAGATATTTTCTCAGTGAAAGTTAACGATACTAAAATGTCAGATATATACAATATATTGAATGGACAGTGTATGATGTCACGAATTGTCGGGGATCACAGTGTATGGTGTCACGAATTGTCGGGGAACACAGTGTATGATGTCACGAATTGTCGGGGAACACAGTGTATGATGTCACGAATTGTCGGGGAACACAGTGTATGATGTCACGAATTGTCGGGGAACACAGTGTATGGTGTCACGAATTGTCGGGGAACAGTGTATGCTGTCACGAATTGTCGGGGAACACAGTGTATGGTGTCACGAATTGTCGGGGAACACAGTGTATGGTGTCACGAATTGTCGGGGAACACAGTGTATGATGTCACGAATTGTCGGGGAACACAGTGTATGGTGTCACGAATTGTCGGGGAACACAGTGTATGGTGTCACGAATTGTCGGGGAACACAGTGTATGGTGTCACGAATTGTCGGGGAACACAGTGTATGGTGTCACGAATTGTCGGGGAACAACGTGTATGATGTCACGAATTGTCGGGGAACACAGTGTATGATGTCACGAATTGTCGGGGAACACAGTGTATGGTGTCACGAATTGTCGGGGAACACAGTGTATGATGTCACGAATTGTCGGGGAACACAGTGTATGGTGTCACGAATTGTCGGGGAACACAGTGTATGATGTCACGAATTGTCGGGGAACACAGTGTATGGTGTCACGAATTGTCGGGGAACACAGTGTATGCATGTTTACGTCTTTGTTTGTTGTTTAACGCCGCAATGTTCCGGTCTGTAAATAATCAGACGTCATACGTCTACGCATTTTGGATACGATGACATGTGTCAACCAAGTCAACGAGCCTGACCACCCGATCCCTCTTACGACAAGGGTGGGTTGGTGAAGATGAATTCTAACCCGGATCTTCATGCGTATCACTCACTGTTCCCAAGGGGGGACACGTACTCCGTGCCCTTGATAACAGACATTTTCTCATCCTTGCAGCTACCCCCAGACCCCACTTGTGCCTCACGTGTTGCGGTCCGCCCCCATGCTGTAACTACTGCGGACTAGAGAAATGTGAGTACATTACATATTTATTAATTACGTGCAATATGCTAAGCATGCTTATAACGAACTCAAGGACATGCTGGTTCATCCCGGGCGCTTGCCGAATATGTCAGGTGTTATAAAGGCACCAGATTTCCTATAATTGCTGTCCAAATCCTGACATGTCAATATCACTCAGTACTTTTACGTTATAATGCCATTTGTAATGTATGATGAAACCATATGATATCAATCAGTTACTTTAACGAATTGTCGGGGAACACATGTGCCATAATTTGCTCTTTGTATCTTGAACGAATCGGGGGATTTCCCTTGACAGATTTATTAAGTATGGTGTCATACGAATCTGTCCGGGAACACAGTGTAGATGCCACCTGTAATGGAATGTTTAGCTGTCTTCTAGGTTTGTCCTTGTTTAACGCCGCAACTGTTCCTTGGGTCTGTATAAATAATGGAACAGCCCAGTTGACCAAATTGCTGTGTGAAATCTCCAGTGCCAGGAACCCAAACTCTGAATTAAATACCATAAGTATATCGTCTACGCATTTTGGATCAGAATCTTGATGACATGCCTTGTCAACCGAAGTCAACGAGCCTGTAAAACCTAGCTGTAACCGATCCCTGAAACTTCCACACGACGACAGCAAGGCTTACTGTCCGGGAACCATTTTACAGCTCTTCCGTGAAAAGGCATTCAAAGTTAATTCAACAGAATTATAAGCCTGTTCCGAGATCTTACATGCGTATGACCTGGGTGCAACATATATCACTCGCATCAGAAAAACAGCAATCATGGGGGACTACGTACCCAAAAGTTCGTACCCATTCTGATAACAGACATTTTCTCATCCTTGCAGACGACAAATATCGCCCCAGATCTTCCTGTCAAACCCACTTCGCTGTAAATCTAGGTGAAACCTTCAAAACACTCATCCTCGTGTTGCGGAACACCGCCCCATGCTGTAACTACTGCGGACTAGAGAAATGTGAGTACATTACATATTTATTAATTACGTGCAATATGCTCAGAATGTATAGCATACTTATAACGAACTCAAGGTACATGCTGGTTCATCCAGGCGCTTGCTGAATATACGGGCAGACGTCAGGTGTTATAACTACGGTTATAACGATTAGGTGAAATACCCCAGAAAGGTCCCTTTGGGTTCGTTATAACCGTACTGAGTTTAGAAATTTGAACATGTAACCGGAGACAAAATCAGTGCGGTTTTACGAATTATACGAACGAGTGTCCTTCCTATGGTATCTGACCGAGCGAAAGCGAGGTCAGATAACTATCAGGAAGGTCACGAGTTTCATATAATTCGTATGTAATGAGACCGAGTGTGGTATGGACTTTATTTATTATTACAAACGTCTTACATGCATTAAATTGACAAAATAGCGTATTTTTGTTAATATTTTGGTTTCAAACCGAAACCGGTTTCATAAAGAGGTTGCGGAAGAGTTTTGTACTGTATTATAATATTTGCATGACGTCACATGTAATGACGTCACTGCCTTGGTAACCGACGTCACGATGCATGTCAGTTGTCATCGCCTCGTACAGCCTCCTACAGTAAACTACCGCCGTAGCACCCCGTTGGTTTGGTTTGCAGGCTGCTTCATATCGGCTAACATCACTGGTGGAAACATTGCGTTTACGTTTTTCGACGGGCTTTATCAAAATGTGAACCTCAGTTCGACTCCAACTGATACAACAAACAGCGACACGGCAACGTTCGCGATGTTTGCAGGGATTCCCACAATGTGTTTTTAAGTTGTAGATGTGTCTATGAATGGATTCACGTGTTTGAATCGGAATGAATGAAAAATAAGTTAATGCAGTCAGAATGTGACCTAATTGACGTTGAGGTCATCGGTTATCCAATCAAATCGTTAGAATCTCAGGTCAAGCCGTTACGACACAGGTCAACGCGATATTGACACTCGTGTGACGTACCGACTTTCATTAGTATAGCCAAACCTGTAACTACCCATACGGTTATAACGTGGACGGTCCCTTTGAGTTCGTTATAACCATATTATATTGTACCTTCATGAGAACCTACCATGTTTTATGGATCCAAGAAACTGACATTGACCCAGAGCAGGTTCACTGTGTCACGGTGACATCACACAGAAGCCATGACAGGCTGGTGTTACTGGTACATACCAGCGACGTGTTGAGGCAAAATATGTTCTTAATACAAAGATAATACACGTGTGTTATTATAATTCAAAATGTGGATAAAGGCACCAGATTTCCTATAATTGCTGTCCAAACCTGACATGTCAATATCACTCAGTACTTTACGTTATAATGCCATTTGTAATGTATGATGAAACCATATGATATCAATCAGTTATTTAACGAATTGTCGGGGAACACAGTGTATGGTATCACGAATTGTCGGGGAACACAGTGTATGGTGTCACGAATTGTCCGGGAACACAGTGTATGCATGTTTACGTCTTTGTTTGTTGTTTAACGCCGCAATGTTCCGGTCTGTAAATAATCAGACCAAACAATCCAGTGATCAATACCATAAGTATACGTCTACGCATTTTGGATACGATGACATGTGTCAACCAAGTCAACGAGCCTGACCACCCGATCCCTCTTACGACAAGGGTGGGTTGGTGAAGACGAATTATAACCCGGATCTTCATGCGTATCACATCACTGTTCCCAAGGGGGGACACGTACTCCGTGCCCTTGATAACAGACATTTTCTCATCCTTGCAGCTACCCCCAGACCCCACTTGTGCCTCACGTGTTGCGGTCCGCCCCCATGCTGTAACTACTGCGGACTAGAGAAATGTGAGTACATTACATATTTATTAATTACGTGCAATATGCTAAGCATGCTTATAACGAACTCAAGGACATGCTGGTTCATCCCGGGCGCTTGCTGAATATGTCAGGTGTTATAACTACGGTTATAACGAGGTGAAATATAAGGTCCCTTTGGGTTCGTTATAACCGTATATAGAAATTCTACACGAGGTCTCATTACATACGAATTATACGAAACGAGTGTCCTTCCTATGGTATCTGACCGAGCGAAAGCGAGGTCAGATAACACAGGAAGGTCACGAGTTTCATATAATTCGTATGTAATGAGACCGAGTGTGGTATTTTATTTATTACCCACGTCTTACATGCATTAAATTGACAAAATAGCGTATTTTTGTTAATATTTTGGTTTCAAACCGAAACCGGTTTCATAAAGAGGTTGCGGAAGAGTTTTGTACTGTATTACAATATTTGCATGACGTCACTGTAATGACGTCACTGCCTTGGTAACCGACGTCACGATGCATGTCAGTTGTCATCGCCTCGTACAGCCTCCTACAGTAAACTACTCCGTAGCACCCCGTTTCTTGGTTTGCAGTTGCTTCATTCGGCTAACATCACTGGTGGAAACATTGCGTTTACGTTTTTCGACGGGTATAATGTCTCAGTTCGACTAACAATTAAACAGCGACACGGCAACGTTCGCGATGTTTACATTCCCACAATGCATTTAAGTTGTAGAATGAATGGATTCACGTGTTTGTAATGAATGAAAAAATAGTTACGTCAGAATGTGACCTAATTGAGAGGTCATCGGTTATCCAATCAAATCGTTAGAATCTCAGGTCAAGTCGTTACGACACAGGTCAACGCGATACGACACTCGTGTGACGTACGAGATTAGTATACAACTACCCATACGTTGACCACGTGGGTAATAATATATTGTACCTTCATGAGAACCTGCCATGTTTTATGGATCCAAGAAACTGACATTGACCGAGAGCAGGTTCACTGTGTCCCGGTGACATCACACAGAAGCCATGACAGGCTGGTGTTACTGGGCCCTTATTCTCGAAACGTTCGTAGTCCTAAGAATTCTTAACTTTGATCGTAGCGAGTGTGTAAAAGAATGGGGTTAAGAAGTTCGTAGGGCTACGAACGTTTCGAGAATAGCTAGCCTGGTGCATACCAGCGACGTGTTGAGGCAAAATATGTTCTTAATACAAAGATAATACACGTGTGTTATTATAATCAAAAATGTGGATAAAGGCACCAGATTTCCTATAATTGCTGTCCAAACCTGACATGTCAATATCACTCAGTACTTTACGTTATAATGCCATTTGTAAGGTATGATGAAACCATATGATATCAATCAGTTATTTAACGGCACAAGGTCACACATTTTCGGCAATATTTTGGCCTATATTTTATATATTGAGAGCATATGCACTTAATTTACCTTCCTATTGATGCAATAAAAGACTTATTATCCCTAACGACTTGCCTGAAATCGATCATTGAAACTAGACGAACAGCTTACAAACAGAGAACACTTGCCATATATGGAATGTAAACGATAGCTCCGTACATCGGAAACTGTCGCACGCGGTGTTGTCGGTGTTTACCGAACTGGTTTCAATAAAAAACTGTACGTGGGATATTCACAAAGAGCGCTCCAAGGGACATAACTCAATGGGGTTCGCTTGAAATAATGTTAGGCCAGTAGAGGGCGCGAGAGTCGATTTAATGCAACGTTGCATTAATTCATTCGAACTTTTTAATTTATAGTGTAATCTGTATACGCAATTTTTGGGAATAAATTATATAGTAGATACCCTGAGGGCTGATTGTTAGTATTATTGGGAAAAATGCATTATTTATTTTTAGAGAAGTGTTGCGTGACAAAATATTTCTGAAATTGTTAAATGTTACCAAATGTTCCACTGAGGTATTATTCTGTGTCATGTGTTTTCAAAATCCTTCAAGTATATGACGTTGAGAGTTTAATGGGCTTCTACTGGACATAAAAGAGACACAGTTTGTCTGTTGGTTTGGTCTATATCATTAACATGTGTTTGTGAGACATCAACACCTGATAGTGATGCAACTGGCCTTCGCTAAATGGCGAGTGTATCCTCCTGTATCTGTAGTCCATGTGACCCGCCCAAGGTATACATGGTGAGCGTATCCTCCTGTATCTGTAGTCCATGTCACCCGCCCAAGGTATACATGGTGAGCGTATCCTCCTGTATCTGTAGTCCATGTCACCCGCCCAAGGTATACATGGTGAGCGTACCCTTGGTGAGCGTATCCTCCTGTATCTGTAGTCCCTGTCACCTGTATACACATGGTGAGCGTATCCTCCTGTATCTGTAGTCCATGTCACCCGCCCAAGGTATACATGGTGAGCGTACCCTCCTGTCATCTACATGGTGAGCGTATCCTCCTGTATCTGTAGTCCATGTCACCCGCCCAAGGTATACATGGTGAGCGTACCCTCCTGTATCTGTAGTCCATGTCACCCGCCCAAGGTATACATGGTGAGCATGGTAGTCCAGCAAGGTATGGTCCTCCTGTATCTGTGTCCATGTCCCGCCCAAGGTATACATGGTGAGCGTATCCTCCTGCATCTGTAGTCCCAGTCACCCGCCCAGGGTATACATGGTGAGCGTACCCTCCTGTATCTGTAGTCCATGTCACCCGCCCAAGGTATACATGGTGAGCGTATCCTCCTGTATCTGTAGTCCATGTCACCCGCCCAGGGCATACATACTGTTGTTGGCGGTAAGGGTAGGGCCAACAATAAATAGCAGATTTCAATGTCATGATGTGTCAAAGTTTAGTTGTCGTCTTCAGAACCCAGTTGGTTTGATTTGTCATCTTGAAGACTTATCGCAAGTGAGGGTGCAACTCTGCCCACCTAACTGAAGGTGTTGCATGAAATATTTAGATGGTGTTTCTTTCTGTTTGCAGTGCTTGCCAAGTAGGTCACCCAGGTCCCTTAACAACACTGGTTCCATGACGACCATCTGTGACTGCCTGAACACTCATATTGTTATTCAGTTGTTATCATTGCTTAGTTCCGTTCCATATTTGAATAAATACATGAAATAACCTGTTTAGTTAGAATGGAAAACGACTGCTGGCTTTCTTTTATGTTTTTTCGGTTGCCAAGTTTCTTTTGGACGTTAGTGTACAACACGACACACAGAAGGTCATACACGTGTTTAACGTAACGATCGGTTCTTACCTCGCAAACCATACACAGGTCATACACGTGTTTAACGTAACGATCGGTTCTTACCTCGCAAACCATACACAGGCCATACACGTGTTTAACGTAACGATCGGTTCTTACCTCGCAAACCATACACAGGTCATACACGTGTTTAACGTAACGATCGGTTCTTACCTCGCAAACCATACACAGGTCATACACGTGTTTAACGTAACGATCGGTTCTTACCTCGCAAACCATACACAGGTCATACACGTGGTTAACGTAACGATCGGTTCTTACCTCGCAAACCATACACAGGTCATACACGTGTTTAACGTAACGATCGGTTCTTACCTCGCAAACCATACACAGGTCATACACGTGGTTAACGTAACGATCGGTTCTTACCTGCAAACCATACACAGGTCATACACGTGTTTAACGTAACGATCGGTTCTTACCTGCAAACCATACACAGGTCATACACGTGTTTAACGTAACGATCGGTTCTTACCTGCAAACCATACACAGGTCATACACGTGTTTAACGTAACGATCGGTTCTTACCTGCAAACCATACACAGGTCATACACGTGTTTAACGTAACGATCGGTTCTTACCTGCAAACCATATTTGGATTCCTGGTGAGAATAGGTCAACAACTGGTTTGACTCCAGTATAGTCTTTACACACGTCGCCGTCATATTCAGTCTCGATCAACTCATATTTCTTCATTCGTAAATTGACCAATGAGAGCCTTTTCTGTTTCCGGTCATTCAGAGATTTACGGAAACTGTCGATGTTCACGGAAGGGAGGCCAAACGTTTGTTCGAAGTAGAAGGTAGTGCTAATGCGAGAGTCAGTGGTCAAATATAAACTGCACTTAGACAAACTGAATGCTATGAGCAGAAAGGTAAAAAGAATGACCTACAAGCTCACCACAATTGTTTTGTGAAAAACGTAAGGTTTGATTGAACCGCACGTCAAAATAGTCGTTCTGCCCGGTTTTCGATCAAAATTTTAAGCATCGGAAGTGTCACCCCTTTTTGATTCTATATAATAGTGAAGCGGTACAATTTCCTAAAATCTTTATTTCGTCACCGATTTCGTTCTAATTTGAAAGATGTGTTCATCATTACATACATAAACAATATATGATGGCAAAAGTCTACATTTGTATTCATAAATTTATTGTCCAGACGGTGATTCGAATACCTGATCAGGTATTCATCTTCTATATTCATCTTCCCAATTTTTACATGCATATTTTATATGAAGCATAACCTTTTACGAATAATATTGACTCAAAGGTTGTGGCGTAATGCACGTAGGCGACTCTAAACTGTGGACATTAATATCTCTTAGGCGTCTTCTAAATACAGACAAAACATGTTCTTATCCCCAACATCTTGGTGTACCCACCCTTAAGCAAAACCGCTTTTAAATAACACTTGTCTCACTAACGTCGTTAGAGATTGAGATGAGATTGTGCGTCGTGGCCAGCGACGTGACCTTCCGACGCCGATAATGAAAGCATGTTCTGTCTGTTCAGAGTTGATGGGAAGCATCGTGCTTACCACCCAAGAGCAGAAATAATGTTTGCTTGTTCCGTTCAGGAGACTGTGACGCATGGTGGAAGGGCAGTAATGTTTGGCAGTGTATGAAATAAGGCCTGTCCGACCGCCCGAGACGGGCTGGATTTCTTACGGATAACATCTCTAAACTGTCTCAAGAAGCATAATATATACGAGCCCAACACAGTATTTAAAACTGTTGTTTTCAGTGAAAAAAGTCTCCGTGGAAGGCAAGGTATTTTGAGTTAAAAAATGGTAGAATGTGCATCAGTGGATGTGAAAATGTATCTAATAGCGAATTGTGAGTAGCAAGATACTTGGTGTTCTTATGGAAATTTCAAATGTTAAATAAAATAAAAAATGTAGTGTGCATTATTACACCTGGATGACAAGTGGTATGTAGAACTTATGGCCGTTTCCAGGTTTGCGAGGGAGTTGGCCTATGTTGTGTTTCACACCTCATCATACCTCAGTGACTTCAATAATGATGCTGAAGTCCTCAACCCATTCGCCAATAGACTTCGCATTGTGTCTGATGAATACATACAAAAATTGCTGTCCAATGAAATTACACCAATGAGCGAAACACATTATGAGCTTTGCTGATGAAAGATAAGGTTTTGTAACTTTCTGAACCAAACTTTCAAGATATTGATCAAAACGGGATGTTAATTATCACGCTGGGAAATAGAAGATGGGTGACATGTAACAGGAGATTACATGACAACGTTGAGGGTTTCTTGTTCTTCACATCTGTCGTCTAGTGATACATCCAACGATATATCTTGCGGAATGAATGCGTTCACCAGTTTCTGGAATGAACAATTCAATGTAATTTGTTTCCTTTTTTCACTTAAGCACAAATTTAAATGTTGTACACGTATTTACGTTTTATGGTAGGCAAAGGTCATACTCCAACTATCTAACTACACACAGTTACCAACACGCAGGGGCTCATTAACATACAAACATACAGACATGTACCCATACTCATTCTCTCACTCTTGGGGCGGTGGGTAGCTTAGTGGTTAACGCGTGCGCTCGTCACGCCCAAGACCCGGGTTCGATAATTATAAGCTACATGGGTACAATTTGTGAAGCGCTGGTGTCCACCGCCGTGATATTGCAGGAATATTACTCACTCACTCACAATCATACAAACCAAACTCACTCACTCACTCACAATCATACCAACACGTACTCACTCACTTACTCCCAAACATACAAATACGTAGACAAACTCACTCACTCACTCCCAAACATACAAACACGAAGACACACTCCCTCACACTCACTAACTCAATCAGTAGCAAAATAAGCATACCTCTTTGAATGTGTCCCCGCTGGACTTCCATACACAGTAAACCATCCAACAAGGCGTCGGCACAATCATGAAGACAGATATAAGCCAGCCAATCACTGTTGCCCACTCAGGATAGAAGTAAGTGCCGTATTTTGGAGGCCGGTATTCGTAGAAGGCGTACACAAATATAATCTGGAAATAGTGAATAGAATACATACGTGCAACTGTAGCCTATCAACATGTATTGACATGCATCGTACTTTATAGTAAAAACATTCGCATTTTGATGAACAAGGTTACCTAAAGCAAACGCCCCGCAAACTAATGGTTAATTAATATTCATTCTCCTGAGTTCATAGGAGTTTGATATATATTTGCCACTACACAGATGTGCGGGAGGTACAATAGTGTTTTGCAAACAGATTCCCTGTGAGCTTTGGGCAGTACTCCATCATCCTCGCATGGCGAGGAAAATCAAAAATAAGCTTCACACATTTCATCCATGTGGGGGATCGAACCCAGTTATTCTGCGTGACGATCCAACGCATTAACCACCGGCTGCAGATTTGGACCAGAGATCTATGACATAGAAAACACTATAGGGCTGCTCCGTACAGAACTCTGTGACAAAAGGTTCGAATTTGTACATTCGTCCTAAAAGTGATTCTTCCTTTGTCAAAATTATACCCGAGCTCGTGGGGTTCAAAGTGACTCCAGTATAAGTATGCTCAAAGGTAAAAGTTATTGTCACACAAAATTTACTTTTATGATTATTACAAGGAAAGACAAATGTTTCAAGGTATGGTAATGATCAACCGTCCATAAGAACAGCGCACAAGACGTGGATCACAAGCACATCAACACGTTTAAAAGCGAGTGTCAACCCTGTGCATTGATGCAGGCCTCAGTGAGGTCACAAAACTTCGCTAATAATCCTGGGGAGTTCCTGCAGTGATGTTAAAGAATTCGGATAGCGCTGTAAACGCCGTTTACTGAAGACCAATTCTAACCCGGATCTTCACGGGTATAATCTGCATTGAATGGAAATGTTAATAGCCTGGCCCCATTAAGAGGACATTGCTGCCCATTATCCCGAACATGTCATGCTTCCTTTAGATATCGTGCAGTTCGGACAACTGTTTGGCTCCTTTTCAGCAACCATTTTAAGAATCCCCTTTACTGGTTCAAATCCCGGAATGCATTCACTATGTTACCACTGAAAAATAGTCCATGTCACAATAACGTTTTCCTCTGAGTATATACAACACCTGATCACTACAGGCTTTCCTACCACAGCACTGCCATACTGCCCACTCACTCACTCACTCTCACTAAAAGTAGCGATAATGGCCTTACCATGAGAAGTCCAGGTGTGATGTACTTCATGAGGAAGGTCAGCCATCTTGGAATGGTCTGTCCGTACATCTCCACCGTACACTTGTCCAGTCTCCATACACCTGCAACGTACATGTCTCGTTATACACGTATGCATTCACAGAACATCAATCGTTTTCTGGTTGTTCTATTTTTCGTCACCAAATTGCCCCTATTGATTTTCTGGGTAAATAAGGCCCCAAAGAAAGCAGCAGGAATCAGTGATTAGATTTGTGACATGAATAATCTGATACGATTTTGTGACAGTGTTGATTGTGCCACATCCACTCATGTTTATAATCCATCATTGCTTTGCATGATCCAGGTTCGATTTATTTTTCAATATATGTATGTATGTCCTTTGTAATCAAAGCCGTTGGCCCAAATACAATGGTACATAATTTACGTCATGGTTAAAGCCAATAAAGACACCTATCTTTTTTGTTTCTTACTTAACGGCGCACTTTAAAATATACCAGCTATATGGTGGCAGTCTGTAAATGATCGAGTCTGTGCCAGACAGTTCAGTGACTGACATCATGAGCATCGATATTCGCAACTGGGACACGATGACATCGGCGAACGAGGCCACCGGATCACATTAGTCACCTCTTACCACAAGGATGGGTTGCTGAAGATCAATTCCTACCCGGATCAATCAATTAAATGTTGAAATGAGTGATTTGCTAGTTTGCAAGACGTAGTTGGCGTAACTACTCAACAAAATAACAATAGAGTTTGTTACAGATGGTTCAGTGATTGACACCATGAGCGTACATAAATGCGAACAGGACAGGTGACATTCATTCCACCATGCCTGAGCATGTCCATCCGATCCTGTGAGTCGTTCCGAGTGAGTGAGTGAGTATGGTTTTACGCCGCCGCTTTTAGCCATATTCCACCAATATGATGGCGGGGGACACCAGAAATGGGCTTCACACATTGTACCCATGTGGGGAATCGAACCCGGGTCTTCAGCGTGACGAGCGGACGCTTTAACCACTAGGCTACCCCCGGCTACCCCACCACCCCGTACCCTACGAGTGGAGTGATTGGGATTTACATTCTCGCTAGGAATAAGCATGCACTGAAGCATATACTTACCAAACACCCAGGCCAGCACCAGACACTCCACCACCCCGAACAGCATCACAGGGGGCACCGACGCATACCAGTCTACGAGGGTCAGGACGTAGATACCAGCCTGGAGGTAGAACATGTGACGGGATGTTTAACCAAAATAAATATTTGAGATAACAGTAGGGAGTGAACATAGTTTATTTGTTTCTTTGGTGTAATGAGGCACATCCATGGTTTTGACGGCCTTCTGTAAACAGTCGCGACTGGACCTGGCAATGTACGGACATCATAAGTAGCTGCACAATTTGTATGCGATGACCAAGTCATCGAGTCTGATCACCCGATCCTGATGACCGCCTCTTACGACAAGCGTGTGATATTGCTGGAATATTGCTAAAAGCTGCATAAAACCATATTCACTCTCTTACACACTTATTCCTACCTGTGTAGTGTAAGGAAGAGCCAGGAGGAAGCAAGGAAGAAACACGATCAGGAGAAGAAGCCACCGACGCTTGGCCAGTGACGGGAACTGGTCAGCTAGTGTCTCCTGGGTGATCTCTAAACTCGGTACCTGCAACGAAAGGTAGGTTTTGTTTCATAAAAAGGAAATGTTGTGCAATGAAAATAGAACGCAGGATAACTTGTGAAGTACAGAATACATGGAACATGTTAAGATTGTGCAATGCATCCTTCATAGTTAGGCTCAGAGCTTTCCTATCATCCTTCGTATTATTAATAATAGATTCTTAACCGCTCAATCCTGTGCGGTGACAAGGCATGAGTAATGCAAGTAATTGTTTTTGGGACGACCTGTAGACTTACGGGAACTCGGCAACGCTCTTACTGAAGAGTACAATAATCTCCAATCCAGACTCTTATTGGGAGCATACGATGATTTCAGGCTGTGATTGCTTCATGTGGATTACAAATGCTCATAGATATGTTTTCGTGGTTTGTTTAATATCTTTTAGATGTGGTCAGATGCTCTTCGTTTGACGGATTGTGTCATTGTCTGTTGGTGATATGTTTTGTGTTGGTATTGTGAAATATACAAAGGACATATTTATTGTGTTTGACTATTTCAATGGATGCATATGATTTAACCTATAACATTTATAGGTTGTGACCAGTAGCAAAGTAGGCCTCTATCGTCTTGTGTATAATTTGCTATAAACAGCTTTACCGTTGTATCAAGGCCCAACGTCATCATCATCAGGAAAACCAGCACGGACCATAACTGGGACAAGGGGAGATAAGTCACTGCTTCCGGTAACACTGAGAATGCCAGATTAAGACCTGAAGTCGAAAGTGAGTTGGTTGATTACCTTACCTATTTGTGTATCAGACCAGATCTATACGTGATACATCAACAGGCATTTATCTTCACATGATATCGCCTGGGTATATTCGACACTGCTCGTTACTGTTCACAAACGGACAAACAAGAACATGAATAAATCTCACCCACGGGTACTCTGGACACAGAATGTGTTTCTGTTTCGTGTTCATATATTTGATATACTGACTCTCAGTGAGATAAAGCGGTACCTCAGTGTCAAAGAAACCAAACTTGGATATAGTGAATTGCGTCTTTGACAGACACTTCATGACGAACTGCGGAATATAGCGAAACGCTTGATCACGAACTTCGGCTACAACGAACTAAAATTTATGTTCACCATGAACTCGTTACAACCGACGTTCCCTGGAGGTATTGGTAAACATCATGACTTGCATATGTAGTGCACTGAGATGCACGTTACTGTTACAATTACCACGTAACTCTACCTGAAGACTGAAAGTCATCCATGTTGGACCCGGTCACGTGCGCCATGTGCCCCAACACCGTGAACATGGACAGTCCACAGAAGATGGTGATCAAGGGGTCCACAATACACAGAACCATCGCAACTCTAGGAAATATATATAATAGAAATCAGTGATGACCTCAAGCAACACCGTGAACATGGACAGTCCACAGAAGATGGTGATCAGGGGGTCCACGATACACAGAACCATCGCCTCTTTAGTGATGACAAGCAACACCATTATATATATTATTAGACAGTGACACCATTATATATATTATTAGACAGTGAGCTTTATGAAAGAGTAACCAAACAATAGAAAAAAGGTTTTCTCCACTATTATGCTTTTTAGGTTTGATATGGTGCTTGTTACTTTACTTCATGAGTTTAAGGGCGCTTCTTTCGATATTTGTTTAATGTTCAGTGACAACCTCTGATCATCTTATGATTCAAGTGAGCATTGCCATTATAGATATAATTCAAAAGTGAGCGTTATGAAAGAGAACCAAACAATGTGAAAACAAGATTACTCTCATTGTGTTTTCTCTGACTGATGTTGTACCTGTTTCAAGGAAGTACTTTATGAGTTTAAGAACGCTTCTTCCGATATATTTGTGAATTTATTGATCTGTTGTAGCAATTCATAAGACATCAAAGCCATTTGTGTGAGCTTTTTCTGAGAATAACAAAACGTTGCGAAATACAAATTTCAGCAATGGGCTACACATGTTAAGGACATCAAGGCTATCAAGCGAATTTGCATTTTTCTACATCTAACGCTGTTCACGAAATTGAGCTTCATAGAAGTGGCCAATAAACACCAAGTGATCATAATATAAAACATGAGGGTAAACTAAATTATCCTTGAAGTTAAATAACCTGTTCCATCTACCTGTAGCAGTTACTGTTTCGCTGATTGTGACTGGAAATGGTGTTGGCGATGCCAGTGCTGGTGCCCATGGAGTGAAGGGCGTAGCCACACGCTTCGATCCATATCTACAGCACATGAAAGTAACAGTTTTAACGGACATGCTAGCGGAGAGCCTGGCTACCCTATTCTGTCAGTCGCCTCTTACGACAAGCAGGTGTTGCTGAAGACAAATTCTCCTCTAACGATAAGGGAATATAACGGGAACTCATCAATAACACGCCTGTTCATGAATACAAACGATTTCAAATCTTAGGTTAAACTATGGGCATTCCAGGTAAGAATACAGGTACCCCCAAAACAAGTCTTGCCATCTTGGATCCTATCGTACCTGTATCCGAATCGTGTTGATAGATGCTCATGTGAAAATCTCTGAAATTCATCTTGTGTGTTGCGTGTGCTTACGCTTCCGTCAACAGTTTTCAAATAATATCATTGTAGCAAATACCCAATTTGAGTCTGATCCGACAAACCAGTGATTGACATTATGAGCGTTTAGACCAACAACTGTACCCTCCACGTAACATCTTTACTAAAACTCATGTTTGTTTGTTTGTTTTGTTTGTTTTTGTTCATTGTGATCCTGTCTTTCTGTCTTGCGGACAATTTCACAATCATAACACCACTAGAGTGATCGTGTGAGTGAGAGAGTGGGTGAGTTACACTTTAACGTTGCCCAGGCAATGTTTCAGCCATGCAACGACAACAATCTTAAGAAGCCGTTTGGGAGAAATAACATTTTACCCTCATATGATAATGAAAGATTTATGATGTAACAACTGATTTGTCAACCTGTACTGACACTCACGTTGGGGCTTTTCAACTTCTCAAAGTCTGGTCTTATCAGATAAAACAGTCCATCTGTCGCCCCTGGCAACAAGGAGCCCCGTATGAGGAAGACCGCACACACCAGCACCGGGCACATGAAGGTGACGTACACGATCTGGAAATGGTGTCATATTGTTTGTTAGGTTTTCCTTTCCTTTCGTTTTTCGGAGATTCTCCCACGGGATACTGGAAACTCTTATTTTTCCGTTAATCTTATTTGTTTGTTTGTGACCACATTCGACAGTAATCCAACTGTCTGACGGCAATCTGTAATTATGCAAATCTGGACGAGACAATCCAGTGAATTACATCACTTACATAAAAATAATATAATTGTTGATAAAAGCTGTTTCATATTTTTCCTTCTGTTCATTAACGGGATATTTACTCCCAATACCAATCTTTGCAGGGACGTCATACCATGAAAACGACTAACAAATTGTAAATAACCATATAAGACAGGTCATAGTCTGTGGGATCCCTTTAAAACCTGACTTGTGTGGAACCGAATGTTGAAACCGGCTCCTGGACACCATATCAAAAGATTGAAAAAACGTCTCGAAATGGCTAAAATAAGATGAAAACTTAACGTTGTGAATAAAGAAGTGTATCTATTGACTGGTATTGAAAATGCTTAATCACGGCCATGGTTTGCAATATTCCTTTGTGTCACAGGACGTCGACAGCCATTCTCATAAAGCTGGCACGGTACGACATATGTGAAATATTGTTCAAACCAGTGCCCACTTGCACAGAGCAAACTTAGCTACAATTAATCTTTACAAACACTATACAATGGCCCTAATCCACTTGCACAAAGATGGCATCGATTTAATATAGCGATCGAACTCTTCAACGATGGAGGTACGAATTTCTTGAACTCGACTTCCTGTCTACAGTTGTCTGCCAGCGCGCATAGGATGCTGCGCAACTAAAACGTGGAACTGACCACGGCACATAAGTATACGCACCTTGCAGAATTTACATGCAAAAAACGCCCAACAAATATTTGCAGGATGATTGCATATATTGTTCTACGTTCAAACTGTTTTGATTTAGGAACTGAGAATGTGATATTCCAACCAGAAATACCTACCCATGTTTTATGAAAAAATGAAATACGAATAATCTGGTTATATTCTCTGACGTAATACTAAATTTGTCATTACCTTGCCCGTGACTCGGATGCCTTTAAACAGCATGACGTACATGGTGACGTAGGTGAAGGTCAGACATCCAAACAATGGCCACCGAATGGATCCAGTATCATCCAGGCCATTCGAGATGTCCAGTGCATTATATCTGAAACAGTTGCTTTGTGAACAAATTCTTGGTCAGATCAAAGATGGTATTCTCCCCAAAATTTATTTCGGCCTCCACTACCTTTCTGTGCGCAACAATACCTAAGGCTGTGTGTTTGAAAATTTAATGTTTTGCAATACTAAGGCTAAAATGTATGACAGTCATTGAACCTGACAGGTTCTATTTCCCACAAACAGAAAAGGAGCTGTCTATTCGCCGCCATTTTGTATTAATGGACACACCAGACAACAACTTCCACCATTTGGTCAATCAATTTCAAACATTTGTGAACGATTCTCTGGCTTGATCGTAGTTTAACAGAGACACATAAAATCGAAACCTGTTACAGTATAAGGTGTTTCCCTCAATATACTGAAACACAGAAACAATATTGCTATGCATACTGGTTAAAAAAGCGTATTGCAATATACCGGCATACTCTCGTCGAAATACCGAAGTCCACCCTGAATATTACCTACCTTCATTGTCTCTAATGTTTGATGAAATACATATCGATATCATATCGGTTTAATATCTTAAATACTTTCAGGTAAAACTGGATACTCCTTACGACATGAACTTGATGCATTATTATTGACAAAAACATCTTAAAATGCGATCGCAAAATCAGTAATACATATTTTTTCAGAGAATATGAAGGTCATAATTCTAATACTTGCCTCCAGAATTCTTCTGAAGCACTAGCAACATTCACAGTGGACACATTCAGGTGATCCCAATGTGTAGCGTTGATGAAGCCCTGCAGTGGAACAGTGCCCGTGCCATTCACTGTGGTGTTCATCCAAGCATGTTCATAAAGTGTCGACTCCACACAGCTGGGCGTGTTCCAGGAGTTGCCACACGTGGACCATGGCAGGGGGTTGAAGAAGGAGTTGAAGAAGTAGAAGAGGTACCAGGAGAAGTACATGGACGTGTACATGGCGTATACCCATGAAACCAACGCCGTACCTAGTCCAAGACCTGGTCACAGTAGACAAACGTATCACATATATAATTCACCTAAAGGTATTCATTTACAGTGAGTTACATTGCCCCAGGAACCATTTTACTCTGTACAAACGGAAATACATGCACATGCTCAGATGTCAAAATCCAGCCCGAAATCAGTTTAGTAATTACACTGCTTTGTAGATGTCCCTTGCGGTGATAAAACAGGACCAACAACTAAATGAATCAATACATATTGCATTAAAATTAAGTTTATGTTATTGTTGACAATATTTTTGCAACAATTTGTTTTGAATTCTTGATAAACCCTTGACAAAGAGGTATATTGTACCTTTCATGGCAGGACAAAACTTCCACACCTCTACAGGGCCCTTCTGGTAGTATTGGCCAATGACCACTTCCAGGAAGTACAGCGGTACAGCACAGAGGCCCACAAACACCAGGTAGGGGATCAGGAATGCACCTGCAAACAGTAAAAACCATACAGTACAAATCATACAGCTGGTACGATCTGAGACGAAAAGGTTTTGCCACTGTGTTATTTCGTAAGAACCAAAAATATCTGGGATGTTAATTTGTTTGTTTATTTCAGTTGAATGTCCTCTCAAGTATCTCAAGTTCAAAATATACATTATAATATTGAATTGTTTTAAAAGCATTTAAAAGTTCGTGAGAATTTGTGAAAATGAGTCAATTTGCAGTTTCGCATTTCTTTGATAGTGAAGACATAAAACAATGAATTTACTGTAAATCTATTCAGAGACTGCGTATGTCAAAATGCATGTCACAAAAGAAGACTACATGATATACATGCATGGATCCATGCATACACACACACACGCACGCACGCACGCACGCACGCACGCACGCACGCACACACACTCATACATACATACATACATACATACATACATACATACATACATACATACATACATAAATACATACATACTTATCTTACCTCACACATAAATGTTGCTTTCTGATTGGCTGAGCGCTCTTCTATTATTTTCAATGTACCCCGCTTACAAGCGAGTAACATTTCAATGTACCCCGCTGTCAATGGCAACTCATTCTGTACTTCGTGGTAGTAATTCTTTATCTCGAATGACATTGAATCACGTATGATGTACGGAAATTACCGATGTTTTGCGAATGCCAATCGATGGAAGGGAGATAACTCTAAATCTGTTTTTCTTGTCAGCAAACTCTAGCGATGGCTATAAAATGATTTGTACCCGTGCTTCAAACAATTCAAAATTAACATTAAGGTGTTCGGTAAGATAAATACGTTGTTCACTGGTCCCTCGGGGCCCATGGGTTGATGTACCCTCGATGATTGTTTATGTTCCCCTCGCCCTTCGGGCTCAGGGCTCAGGGAACATAAACAAACATGCCCCCTCGTGACCAGTGAACAACTTATAATACATACAGACATACAGACAGACAGACAGACAGACAGACAGACACAGACACAGACACAGACACAGACACACACACACACACACACACACACACACACACACACACACACATACACATACATACATACATACTGACGTTCTTTTTGGACTGATTTCCACTTCAGCTATTGTTTTAATCTGAGTACGTACCTCCACCGTTTCTTGCGCACAGGTAAGGGAACTTGAGCAAAGTTCCTTCCCCAACACTGTAGCCCAACAGGGTGACGATGCCATCCACTCGATGGCCCCATGTTTCTCTTGTTTCTGAAAATAATAGTGAGTGAGTATGATTTTACGCCACTTTTAGCAATATTCCAGCAATATCAGGGCGGGGGAACACCAGAAATTGTTTTTTTAAGCATTGTGGCCATGTGGGGAATCGAACCCGGACCTTTGGCGTGACGAGCGAATGCTTTAACCACTAGGCTACCCCACCGCCCCTATGGAAATAATACACCAGTATATTTCATAGCACTCTCGTTAGACGATATTGCAGGTAAAGCATCAGACAGTAAAGCCAGTGCAAAGTTAGGCTATGTAAAATGAAGTGTATTTCATGTAAAATGTGAACACTGTAACCCCGTCCGCTAACCCAAACTACAAAGGAAGGATCTGTGTGTGTGTGTGTGCATGTATGTTTGTTGTTTAATCCATTAACCACATCAAAATTTTCAGAGTTATCCTTAAAAAATATTTTTACAAATCCTTTTGGACATTTATTGCTGAGCTGCTAGACAGATACTGGTATGCAAGGATGGAGTAGTTGTTTGGGAGTTATCCCACCCGAGTCGGTCTCAGGAGATTCGGATATGAGTGAAAAAACAAAATGGCGATCTTAAATTTTCAAAACTATCTACCTTAAATGCCTGTTTTCCATATAAATATTCTCTTCTGTGTAATTTACTTGAACAATAATTTATTTGTGCAAGAAAAATTAAAATGTATGACATCACACTATGCAGTAACTGGCATCAGGCAACAGGGACGAATCTTGTCACCAAGCCCGATCAGCTTATGCATTGTATCGCCTTTTACAACAAACACCGGGTGCCAGGGACAATTCTAACGGGGATCTTGTTTGGGAGATTTGATGTACCGTTTTCATCAGCGTCCTGTTTTCCTTGCTTTTCCATGGTGAAATCCAGAAGCTTCAGGTCAGACGTTCCACTGAGAAGTATGTCTTAACCAGCATTCACCTGAAAAAGGAGCAGACATCATCAAGCCCTTTTTGCAATGATATTGGCATACAAGACCTTTCATCTATATCATGGCAATTTAGACAAAGGAGGATCTGTCAGTTTTCGTGAGGGAGGAGCTATTGACCCTCTCTTGGAAGGTCAATGACAGACACCCGTGAAGATCCTGGTTAGAACTGGTCTTCAGCAACCCATGCTTGTCATACCCTGAAAAGATCCTGGTTAGAATTGATCTTCAGCAACCCATGCTTGTCATACCCCATGAAGATCCGGGTTAGAATTGGTCTTCAGCAACCCATACTTGTAGTACTCTGTGAAGATCCTGGTTAGAACTGGTCTTCAGTAAACCATACATGTTGTACCCCGCGAAGATCCTGGTTAGAACTGGTCTTCAGTAAACCATACTTGTCGTACCCCGCGAAGATCCTGGTTAGAACTGGTCTTCAGTAAACCATACTTGTCGTACCCCGCGAAGATCCTGGTTAGAACGGGTCTTCAGTAAACCATACTTGTCGTAGCCCGTGAAGATCCTGGTTAGAACTGGTCTTCAGTAAACCATACATGTCGTACCCCGCGAAGATACTGGTTAGAACTGGTCTTCAGTAAACCATACTTGTCGTAGCCCGTGAAGATCCGCGTTAGAACAGGTCTTCAGTAAACCATACATGTCGTACCCCGCGAAGATCCGGGTTAGAACTGGTCTTCAGTAAACCATACTTGTCGTAGCCCGTGAAGATCCTGGTTAGAACTGGTCTTCAGTAAACCATACATGTCGTACCCCGTGAAGATCCTGGTTAGAACTGGTCTTCAGTAAACCATACTTGTCGTACCCCGCGAAGATCCTGGTTAGAACTGGTCTTCAGTAAACCATACTTGTCGTACCCCGCGAAGATCCTGGTTAGAACTGGTCTTCAGTAAACCATACCCTAAAGGGTAATGTAAATCATTTCAGTCATAGATGCATTAATGCTGTGCATGCCTGCTAATATTTGATACAAATGACACAGGCAGTTTGTATCAGCCAAATTTGCCCCAAACACTTCAAGCACCATATAATAGCACATTCAAAGACCCAACACCTCTTGATGTCTCTCATTCAAAACGTGAACGACATATACGCAGAAGCCAGTCGCGGGTTTATCTATAATGTATGATCAGTCTTAAAAGTCATTAAAAAGCTTTATGTACGGTAATGCCAAGCAACATGTAACACCTTCTCAAACTGCTCGTTTCGTTTAACCTGCATGTGTTTTTTTGGTTTCAGGACAGGACAATACTCCCAAATTCATACAGGAGTAAATTCAGGGTGGCTTTGAATTCCATGTCAAGCGGGTCTTCACATGTCACTAATTTCCTTCATTAAACTTTGAAAGAAGCATATTACAGAGTACCACACCGATATGTTTGATGACAAGTCCAGACAGACCAGTGAATGAGTGCATGATCAAAGATATCAAACAGACAATGATGCTCTGAAGGCTGTTTCAGTCGGATTTTGATACAGAGGACATACCTGGATCCCTCGAGGACGAGCAGTTTATAGACAACGCAATAAGATGGACCTATCACCAGCCAGCTTCCGTAACAGACTGCAAGGCACTGTTGCCATCACGCACATTTGTCATCTCGTTTCCAACAGATCTAATACCGTTATGTTAATTACGCAACGCACGTAACTAATCTCGATATTGCATGTTATAGAGTAGCCATAATGATGATCTATCCTTGAATCCCTGTCCCTGTTGCAAGTGACATGAATAGAAAGGTGTCCGTGTAGGGCTTATAGACAGAATAACTAATACTACGTACACGAAACGGAATATGGTACAATGCAAATTTTTAAGTATATTGCATTTATCAGATAAAATGCATAATATACTATTCACACTTTGCTAAGGATCACAAAAAATTGCAACTTTACGTAAACGTAGACTTATAATTTGAAATTGTATCCATTTAAAACTGGATAAATAATGATATGGTAACCCTTCTTTAGGAAAATAAACACTTAAAGCTAACCGTATGCACTTGATACATGAGTAACCATAAAAATGGTTTTCATGGCGCCAATGAACCATGTACATCCCTCTGTACAGGCCGGCTGTTATGTAGAGGGTAATGTCCGAGTAACTCTCCATTCCTTAAAAAAAATGGAGCCGAGGCCCTTTATTTTT